CGAACAGAGAACCCACGACCAAAAGGGCGTGCCGCCTCCAGTGCGCTTGCCCAGTGGGTTCAACAAACAGTTCAAAGTGCATGTGGTGGGTAGGTGTAGCGCGCACTTTATAGTAGGTCGGATTTGATAAGTGAGAAGAGGGGAGCTAGCAAATAGGGCCAAAGCTAATTATATCATTCCAGTCAGCTCTTTAAGCCCTAGGGAACGGATTCATCTGGTTGATTTGATCTGATTTGATTCGAGAACGTTTTGGACTCCGAACTGCTTGACCGGGCGCCTGTAACGTCTCCAATCGTCTCTTGCGCGAGCCAGTGTAGCCAGTGGACCCTCTTCGCTAGAAGCCGTTAGGCATACATCTCACTTCATTCAAGGCTTTCGTACAGAATTTGGTCGTGGCACTAGCGGCCGTCCTGGTGCTCTTTTGGCGTCCCGATAGATAGTGGCCGTCCTAGTCCAATGTTCAACATCAAGTTGCATGACGGCGTCCGATCCATTCCATCTCGGTGTTCTATTCCTTGGCATGAGTAGGGCAATTCGTAGAGAGCTCGGAACTTCGCCTCTGTACTGCGTATATCAAAAACTCCAGGCAGCGCGCTTTCCACAGCACGTTCAATCACTCTAATTGCGTGTTCATTCAAGTCTCAGTACCGTAGTTCAAAGCATTAAAGGCTGCAGAGATGCAGCAATAAGCACAAATTAAGACGTTTCTCTCCCTCAACACTCCTTCCATCATCCTAAATATTCCCCACACCCCTCGTTCCCTCATCTTGAGACCCAAATTGTTCAGTACACTAGCTATGACATTCAGAGAGCTCATTCCGTACAGCGTTAGAGGAGCAAGATGAGCCAACCCGTTTTCCATAAACATCGCCTACGTTCAATCCAGTCGTAAGCCGATTTTAACCACAACCATTGGCTAATGCAGCCACCGTATTTTCCGCCTCCTCGATACTGGGGGTTAAAGCAAGCTGTCATCTGCAAAATGAAAGTAATGCAGATTTGGGCTGTCGACCTTTACTCGCATGCATTCCCGTCACCCCTCTGGCAACGGTGGCATCTACCGGTGGGTGCCACTATGACTGGCTCATGAGACAATGGCACTCAATGGTCAGGGCCACCGTGATTTTTTGGTTTCTAGCACGTCTAAAAGTTATTCAATATTCTCATGTTAGCCAAGAAACTTCATAGCATAATAATCAACATTGTCCGTATGAGGTTTTCAAAAAGGCTTATTCATTAAAAATATATACATGTCAACGGGGTACTTCTCGAAGAACATGTGTACTTTCGCAAGATGCGCGTACATCCTAGAAGCCCTGCAGACATTAGAAGGCCTGATTATGTAACCTCCCCGTCGATCTCGGCATGGTAGTCGCAGGCACATGCTCATCCTTAAGCGCTTTGAACGTTCTACGAGATGCTAATGCGTACATTATTTCCAAAATTCCGTCCTGAACTGCTTCTTGACTGAAATTTCACTTGTAGGCCTCAAGCATGTGTAATGGAAGAAGCAAGGCCTGATGCTTCAATTATACGGGAGGTATTGCTAAATTTAGTGAGCTTGTGAAAGGACTTTCTCCTAGGGCAATGGCACTCATAGGTGGGTGCCAGTCGCGCACGAATTAAAGTAGGCGTGGTCATATGGGCGTACCATGTCAAAACCGCATTGCAGTCAAAGTGTTACAATTCAGGCATGACGTTCTCAAGAGTTGGACTCGTTTGGGCGAGATCATATCGCCGTGCCGGGACCCCTTCCCCACCCTATCATTGCCATATGACTTTCAGATCAATCGTTTCTTGCCTCAATAAGAGCCACCGTGATTAAAAAAAGTAACTTCATTCAATCCGTAGTTATTTACTCTAACAACGGTATGTAACGATAGTGTTTCATTTCAATTTAGATACAGCTAGTCTCCTCAGTGTAGCATAGCTCGGTATGACTTTTCGTTTGTATTGGTTTGAATGGCGATTTGAATTTAGTCCAGTCCTCCCATATCGAGAGGGTGTAATGGGAGTTAATTGCTCCAACGGTTGGTTGCTGCGAGGACGCACATTTATTCAGACTCATCTCAAGAGGGTCGAGAACTGGATCATCATGGTTACGTCGATTATCGAATTACGAGCCTACTAACCAACTATGGTCTTGGTTGTGATCCCTTCATTCCAAGCTTTTACGTTTTTTTAACGCACACCCGCTTGCAGACCACGACAACTTTTTCACTGACTGTCCATTGCGTCACTATCGTTTGTTTACTTTGGGTTAGTACGGCATTTTGGCCACGTTCATATCGTTTTTCTACTAATATCCACCTTCTGGCTAAAGAAACGTCCTTCTCTCATTTCTTGAAGAAGAAGCAAGGATCAACTTGTGTGATGAGCGTGGCGACATTGAACGCTGCAACAGATCCTTCTTTTTCAGAGCTATAATGCCTTTTACGTGAGATCCTTTCGCAATGACGATTCACTACACATTAAGACATTTTGAATCCTTCGCTTCGCTCTGTGGGTTCAGTGTTGATCACGTCGACGTTTGTTAGTCGTACTGAAATGCTCTCTCTTTGTACGGATCCTCTTTGAAGTGTTTTCTATGTTATGTTATTGACGTACACCCCCTTACATCAGCAATCTAACATTCACTGACCTTCTACATACAAGCGATTTGATGTCGAGTGTACCACCACATCACTAGAAAACGCAGCTAACGTATTTCAAGAACAAGTGCGCAGGACTATTGTAGAAGATGTCGCCAAAGTTTCATATCATCCTTGGCTACTATAGCCCGATAGCCCGTACCATAGTCCTCCAAAAGTCGCAAAGCGTGATGCGTTCTATGCCGTTTCGATATGGCGTGAGCTAGAAACGAGCTGTATCGTGAGGTACAGGAAAGCGAGAGTCGCAATTGTACATTTCAAGAGAAGGGTCATGTTAATTCAACGAATAAAGATAAGGTTTTTGGCGTTAATAAATCCCGTCTGAGAGATGAGCGTCCGCACTCGTCTTCCATTCAGAATCGTAGTGGCGTAATGAGTGCGTATGTGGCCTATACAATGAGTTGCGGTGGCCAGCCGATGTACAAGTCATTGCTTTTATCCTCCCAGACGAGTCTGGCACCAATTCACCGACCCGGAGGGATGGAAGGCTTGGTTGGCCCAGGCGGATATCGATCCGGGATTCAAACCCGTGACCGTGCGTGTGAGATAGTGGGCCACTTCCACCACACCACCTCCACCCTAACTTAGCGGATACAAATTATCCTGTAGAGTAAATCGATTCACGGTTAAAACCTATTTTCCTAAAGACGAACACGTATGGGTTAATCGTGTGTAAGTGGAAGGGGGAAGGGGAAGAGGAGGGTGAAAAGAAGATAGACATGTGCGTTTGTTGCACCGAACTGGGTCAGCGCGCTGAACCACCTCAAGTAGTCATGTCAGGGATGCCGATTAAGAGCGGATGGGTTCTATGAAAATCCTGTAAAGTTTTTCTCAAGAACCCTATTTTGTGAATAGTTGATTTACCTTTTTGATCGGTGAGGTCCATCCTTTGATAGGTGATCCGTTTGATCGTTAGTGAGCACGCGGGCCGAATGGCACAGTTTCTTGAGCAGCACCGAGTGTAGTTATTTAGTAAAGTGGTTCTTTCGGAGGCTCAGAATTAAAACGTTTTCAAAGGATAGTGATCCGCTACAACACGATTTACACATTCTACCAAAGGACCAGAAATGCTAGGGAGTGGACTAGTTGCTGGGAGGTTGAGAAGAAAATCGAAGACCGATACCGCTCTGAGGCAAGTATCTATTATCATGTAATCATTATCAGGAGGTCGTGCAACTCCCTTTGCGCATAAATTTTTGGCCTGATAGATATATTTCTTGTACTTGCGCTAATTGCTTTCCCTTCCCAGATACCAGGCAAAATATTTTTGCAAACCCTCTTATCAAAAAATGCAGCGTTTTCACTTTCATGCTCGAACAATTGTTTACGATCCAAATGTAAGAATTTTTGAGGACATTTCTTTCTGGATCTGGTAAGTCGTAGAGATAAGGTTTCTTTGAGATTAGATCGAATTTTCTAGCGAAACGCGATTTTTCGGTTTCTTCCCTTTCGTGACGGATGTTTTGCAGACTGGTCAGGGTTGAAACAAATAATCCATCTCGATAAGCCTCTTTTTTGGGAGGATAAATTCACAGTCGCAAGCACCGCTCAAACTTCCCAAGTCACGTCTCTTTAGATTCACGTGCCCTTTACAACCTCGTAGGGAACATTTCGCTCTCGCTTAGGAATCACCATACTGCATAGTCCTACCAGTTTCTTCACGGTATCCTCCTTACGTGAATACGACCCTCTTGAACTTCTATCCAATCGTGAAGTTTCTGTGCTCGATCTTCTGTGATACGACGAGTGATCACGACTTCTGCTGTTGCTGCAGGAGTGTTGGACAGTGACTGTAGTACTGTGCTGGCATTATCCGTGAATGATCAATGATCAATGTCATTTACTGACAATGCCAGCACAGTACTACAGTCCCTGTCTAACACTCTCCTAGAGTAACAGCAGAAGTCGTGATCACTTGTCACATCACAAAAGATCGAGCACAGAAACTTCACGATGGGATAGAAGTCAAGAGGGTCATATTTACGTGAGGAGGATAGCGTGAAAGAAACTCTACGACTATACATCGTAAACGTGTAGTTTACTCGCCGGTAACGAGAAGAAATAACCCAAATAAATCACCCCTCTATTCTTCCGAACTCATTTATTTATTTATTTATTATATCTATTTATCTATCTACCTACTCTTGAAAGATTTTCTCGAAAGAAAAAAAAGGTGAAGTAAAATCAAAACTCTCTCATCGCAATCAGTGGATTCGAAACAACAAGTATCTTCTGCCCCAACAACTACTGTTATTTCTTGTCATGTGGGAGCACTTCTGTAAGAAACTCTTGCTTTGCCATTGTTTTCATCACTCGAACAAGCCAAACCCATGCACAGGAAATTTTCAGATGGGGCTCGTTGCGATTGCCCTTGCCATATCTGTTTTCACATGGATAACGAATTTCATCTACAAAAAGGCAAAATACATATTTGACCGAATTGCGGTCTTTCAAGGACCGGTCGCGCTCCCTTTCATCGGAAATTTGCATCAATTCCACTTCACTCCCGAAGGTGAGTAAGGCTATTAAACAAAGGAATTCCACACAAAAGATCTCCGATTGTTAGGAAAAACTTCAAATCGTTTTGTAAGTTGAGATCTCCCAAAGGTGATTTGATGGAGGACGTGTGTGCCAAAATAGCTGTATGTAATATGGATGAGCTTATTGGAATGAAAAGCCTCTTTCTTTGTATTTGTAGAATTCTTCGAGCAGGCACAAGGGTTAGCGTACATGTTGCGAAAGAACCGAGACAGGATGACAAGAGTTTGGTTTGGACGTCAGTCGTGATTCCTATCATTTCGCAACTACATTTTGCCTTTCCTGATTCATTCTTTTAGCGCTGCCATATGTCCTCATATATGGACCAGAAGAGTGCGAAGCTGTGCTTGGCAGCAGCAAAATGCTGAATAAAACGATGCAGTACAGTTTCCTGTCGGCTTGGATTGGTGAAGGATTGCTAATCAGGTATTTCATAGGTATTTCAAATGTGCCGGTGTGTGGGCCTGCTGGCGTGTGTGGGGGGAGGGAGGAAGAGGGTTGAGATTCTGCCGCCGACACGTTCAAAGGCACAGTTCACGATAATTTTGGGTAATCCAAATTATGACGAAAAATGGAAGGTAAGATGGAAAATAGTGCGAGGAAGAGAAAGGAACTGCGTCATTCGGTGTTTTCAAAGTGAAAAAAGGCTTCGAGAAATCGTTAAAAAGGGGGGCGGGACGAGAACGTGTTCAGAAGAATGAAGAAGCGTGGGGCGTCTGGATGAGCTACACACCGTGCGTCATTGCATACTTGTTGGTCCTGGTGCGAAGAGCTGACCACGTTAAGCGAAAATTCACCTAGTAATAAGCATATGTAAACAAAAAACCCTAGTAACAGCAAAAATAGCCAACCTTTTTCAGCCTTTTAAGGTATAGAAGGAGCATATGGATCGCAGCAGCAAAAAGAAGATTACAGAAAAGAATGGGAGAAAGGCATTACCTAATCACTCGGCGATTAGCTGATTGTGTGCGGGTCCTGACTCGAATACTTGCAATCTGTATCGCCTCCATACTCGTGTGACGTGACATCGATCGAGGGGCGGGAAGTCCGCGCGAGCCGAGAATGGGGCTCCCACTATGCCCTGACCGTAAGCTTTTTGGGCGCAAGAGGGTCCTTGCTATGCCCTTGGGGGGCCACTGTGCATTCCTAAGGGCAGAACTCAGTAACCATTTCCACCACGTTGAGAGTTGAACCATCAATTTCAATCAAAAACATCTATTGGCAGAAAAATGTTACCAAACTTATGACTTATTTTTTGGGGCTTATAACCTGAAATTTGCAAGGGATACAGATAGCACTATGTGAAACTGATGGTAAATTACAGGAAGTTGTAACACTTAACAGGACTGAAAAGAAGTCTAATAGCACAAGAGCCACTGAGTTCGTTACACTCCCACCAAGGAAAGATCTCAAGTCGAAGTGGCCAGTTGGAATGAGACCTACACTACTGGAAGTGTTTTTACATGCTCAGTTCAAATCTGCTTTCCAAATTTGCCAAGCGTTTCTCTGAACGGAGTTACGAGGGCGGTTTCAGGGAGCTTAACAAGGGAAACTTAGATCACCTGGATGTCCCTCATTTATCAAAGCGGCTTGGTGTAGTGGTTAGCGTGACGCTTCATGAGCGAGAGGCTAGGGTTTGGGTTTTGTTGGGGACGGAATTTTTTGCATTATATAGCATTTTCCCTTAATGACTAGAATATACTCTCATAGCGGTTTTATCACGTTTTATGACCTTTTAATGCTTTGCTGATACCTTCTCCTACCTAGCTATCTATTACCGAGTAGGGTATTCTTCCGTGCGCAAACTGTGGTGGGCCGGGAGAGTAAAATGCATATTATGAGAAATGGTGATGCTAGAGTGGGTGTTGATGCTAGATTGGGTGCGATGGTGCGTAGCAGCTCCGGACTCGACAACACCGGCACTGTTGATAGTGGTCTTGAAGACCATAAAGCTATTCAGTGCGCCTTACCTCCACAAAAGCAGGTGAAGGGAATGACACCTTGCTCGGAGCTACCTTTGGGCTAATATAGCCGATAGATGCTTATTTCTTATTTCCTTTCAAATATATGGTCAAAAGCACCACCTCACATGAAATAGCTCATGACCTCAACTTTTGTGTGTACACATGAGACCCCACTCTTCGCTTACTATCGCTTGTCTACTTTTAGTTCCGTCCGGCTAAATTTAGTAAATTCATGTTTTATCCATGGTATGCCGCCGGCTACTTAAGCACTCACCCGGGTGATTTTGGAACGTCTACACAATTCTGGTTTTTTTTTTCTGATTTGCGGTTAGTAAGCGTAAAGCAATGGGCTGTGACCAGTTTTTTTTTNTTTTTTTTTATCCGTTGATTCCATTGTGAGAAGCTTCTTTGTCCCAAGCATTTTGTGCTAGTGTATCACATCTGTTCATAATGTGGCAAAAGTTATCCTAGTGTGAATATAGGGGTGCATGGGCATTTGAGTAAAATTGAAGTGTTACTTAATGTTGATGAATATCAGCAAAGCATTAAAAGGCCATAAAACGTGATGAAACCGCCACGAAAGTATTTCTAGTTCTCAAGGGAAAAACTCTATATAATGCAAAAATCCCGTCCCCCACGTAACCCAAACCCTAGCCTCTCTTCCATGAAGCGTCACGCTTACCACTACCAAGCCCCGCTGAGAAATGAGGCACATCCAAGAAATTTAAGTTTTCTCATGTTAAGCACCACCCTCGTAACTCCGTTCAGAGAAACGCTTGGCAAATTTGGAAAGCAAATTTGAACTCAGCATCCAAAAACACGTCCAGCAGTGTAGGCCTCATCTCAAATGGTCACTTCGACTTGGGATCCTTCCCTGGTCAGTATCGTGGACGGTTGATGAGAGCAATCGATAGCAGCTGATAAAGTGCTACAGGGGCAAGGCCAGGGGTTGTTACTAGGTTTATTATGCCCTTCGTTAACAAATAACTATAACACCTAATTGGTGAGTGTAATAGGTGGATGCGATGTGATGTAACGGCTGACAGAGGCTGTTTTTAAGAGATTCGAGGAGAAGGCCACAGAAGTGGCCTTTTGCCGTCATCTACCATGACATCATCCTTTTTTGCTTCAAAAATTATTGCATTGAATTATTTCAGCAAGCCTGACAAATGGCGTCCTCGTCGGAAACTGCTGACGCCCACTTTCCATTATGAAATTCTGAAGGACTTTGTCGAGGTACGACCTTTTCGAAATTCTAGTATTGCTCATCCCCAACCCGAAACGGTAACTTACTTCTCCAACATCACTACATCCTTCTTTTGCTGCTTTCATGTACTTGACTATTATTGCAATCAAGGTCCAACGTTTCGTATCCCAGGTCTACAATCGGCACGGTCGAACGTTACTGGGCAAGTTTCTGAAGCACGCTGAGGATGGACAATACGAAAACATCTTTCACACTGTCACACTCTGCACACTGGATGTCATCTGCGAAGCGGCTCTTGGCATATGCCTCGACGTTCAGAAACATCCTCATTCACCGTACTTAGACTCCGTATTCAAGTAAATCTCTTCCTATCACTCTCAGGAAATCAGGAATAAAACTTTCAGTTTAGGATGAAAGTCCTCATTCAAAAGCGTCTTGTCAAGCCTCAGTACTATCCAGAATTCCTCTTCAATCTATTCGGGGCAGGAAGGGAGCAAGCACGTTGTGTAAAAATTCTCCACGAATTCACTGGAAATGTGAGCAACTGATTCTCTAAAATATTTTACGATGAGTAGTACCTACACGAAATTGAGTCATGCTTAATCGCTAGTTGAATTCTATAAGAGCGGTGTCAATGATGCTTAAATCTCATCAACTCTGGGCTGCATTTGACTCACTCAGATTTCTTCGTATAGGAGAAATGAAGTGTTCTTGAGCGTCCTTCTCAGTATCCGAAGTTTTGCAGGTGATACGAGCTCGAAAGGCCAAAGCGGACGCCGCGGGCGGTGTGGAAAAACTACTGGCGCAAGAATCGGCGGAAGGTTGTTACTTTCGTTACGCTGTTTTCACACTTTTTGCCTTCCATTGCCTCACGGGAAAGTTGGTCTTCGTTTTAATACATGAAAATAGCTAATCGGGAAAGCTATTGTTGTGCAGTCTGATCATTCGCAAAGGCGCTGCCTCATCGAAAACAACTGTGTGCTATAAAAATCGAGCAATGCCATGAGTTCACATTTAGCAGTTTTACTTCAGAACCTTCACGAAAGAATGTTTGAGAACCATCTGATTATAACCCAATGAACATTGCATGTACCACCTATTAGGATACCTGCAATGTTTGGCTAACTCCATCTACTCATAAAGCATTGCCATCTCAATTGCATGGATATCACAATAAACGTTAAGTGGCCAAATTATATTGTTTAGAAACGGAAGTGACTGAAAGCAAAAAACAGTCACAGGGACCTACTTCTTTCCGTATTAACCAAAGTGCCCGAATTTGACGCCTTACGAAGTTTTAAATCGAAAAGATAACTAGATATGACGTAAGAAAGAAAATCTTGTAGGTCGTCGTCGGATGGCGTTCTTGGATTTGATGTTGGATATGAACGCAAAAGGAGAATTACCTATGGATGGTGTACAGGAAGAGGTGGACACCTTCACCTTTGAGGTATGTTAGCGTCATAATTCATGATCCGATATCCCTAAGATAATGATACTTCATTCTCGAAGTTGCTCATCTTTTTTCCTTTTGAAAAGAAGTGTTTAGGGACATGACACTACGTCGGCGTCAATTAATTGGTTCCTTCATCTCATGGGGGCAAACCCTGACATCCAAGAAAAAGTACAACGTGAAGTCGATGAGGTATGAAGCACAAAATATTCTATCAATGCCAACCTCAGCTCATTACTATGAAAGACTTTGTTGAGTTACGTGACTACACGTTGCTCAATATTATTCCCTAGTGAACTCCCTCACAATCTAGGACTCTGTAACATAAAAATTCGATGAAAATTCCTCTTTTGGTACCACTAACCCCATAAGTACGTCTTTCCTTCATGGCAGCTCCTGCGCTCATGGTAGGTGGCGGTCGAGGGCGGTTTATCTGACCGGGGCCCTCTTTGGAGGAAGTACGGTCCCAACATTCGAGAAATGCTGCCAGCGCTTTGGAGCCTGTTATCTGTTTGGTTACGAGGTGTAGCGCTGGGAGGAATCGGCTCCGTAGCTTTGTTTCCAGAATCGTTTAGCAGATTTGTGCGGTAATAGGTGCGGTACATATTTTTCGAATGGCTGTTGCGACGACGTATCCTTCCATTGTCAGCAGGACGAGCATGTCTGAATTATCCAACTAAGAGGATCTATCTCAAGAAGCCAGCATGATAAAGTACCTCACTCAAAGCTAAGCGGACTGAATTGCGCAGGGTGTCTTCGAGAGACTAGTGAAGAAGAAAACCAGCTCAACGCCTACTCTTCCGACGTGGCGAGTTCTTCCTGCCTTGACTAGCTCCCAGGCGAGACTTTTATTCTTCTCAGTCAGGACGAATGTGCAAACGAAATTCTGTCCACAAATAAAAATCAGGGATGCCTTGGTCATGTCAATAATTCACGAAAATCCGGTGGTGGGTCCGGATACTTCATGCGATTTGGTGATGACCGTTAGAGCAAAACGATTACTGGCTGGATCCCTCGTCACGTCAAACAAGTATCAGGATGGCCTCTAGCCCGTCTGATGGTCTGACCTATTCACGAAAGCTCTGAACCTAAGGAAGCCTCGCGTCGTCAGGATGGTCCTGTGAACTACATTGGCTCGCAACAGGAACGAATGTAGCAAGCTGGAGCGAAATGATGATCAACAGGACGGCAAGCTTTAGTGGTACTGAGAGGCTCATTCAACTACGCAACCGGTTGAGGTGGTATAATATTATGTAGCATCTTACGTGTAAGGTGAATCACTCCGCTGGTAAAATGGAATGCTCCGTTGTTTTTCTGTGTCAGCACTCACTGGCACACTCAGAAGGCTCCACGTTCAACGTCTGCATTTACCACATTAACTCAGATGCCTGCAATTAATGCGTATTCTGCTTAGTTACTGAGGACCTAGCGAAGTAACTTCACGTACCGACAAAGAATATTATGTTTGCCTAGGACTTGCATAACCTATTCCGTTACGTTAGTCTCGAAAGACGTCTCTGAATCGGCGATGGTTAGCGATGACGAATTTTCGCGACTCTTCAAAGAGTTCATTGACCGCACATGAATGATCGACCCTACTGAGCCTCTTTAAAAGTCTGCTTACTGCCATGACCGTTCAGTTACTAGTTTCGACGACAAGAGACGGAAGCTTTCAGAAGTTCCTCCTCAGCGTATAGAAAATGGGTGTTCTGCATTGAAAGCCACGGAGTAACACTTTGGAGCTTGGAAAACAGATTTGAAGGAACTACATATTCCTATTAGATGGAGTTCCTTCCATTCTCGGCGCATCGGTGGCCATTTCCATGTGCGCATTGACGAGGACAGCTGCACCTCACCTCCCTGTCGCATGTTCCGCAGATTAGATTCATCAAAGTAGTTCAAGAATAATTGTTGGTTGGCGGGATTGAGATATAAAAGGCAAGTGAGTATGTGTTTTGCATCCTCCGTATGTCGGTTGGCGTTCTCATGCTTGTGTGTACATCGGGAGGTGCGGCGGGAGTGTTCGGGAGCTTCTCTTGGACAGAAGCATCAATCGGGTCTCCAGTCGAACATCTACTCGTGTACTCTTTCTTACACACAACGTTTTCCGCAAGTGCTGCGTCGTGAATTAGCATTTAATCGTATATGTGGTTTCCGGAACACAATGTTTTAGGTGTTGGGAGAAGTCGACAGGCCAGTAACTTACGAGGACCTGGGAGGCTTGAAGTACCTTGAGGCATGCATAAAGGAGACGTTGCGCCTCTACCCTTCAGTCCCACTGATTGCACGACAAACTGTAGAAGACATAAAAATTAGTGAGTTTTGTTTTTTGAAAACTTTCTTTTAGATCCTCACGAGGATGGGAGGCTTCAACAACTTGCTGAGATGTCGAGGCTTTTAAAAGCTTTTTTGATGATTCAAGAATAAACCTACAAACTTCTAGATAGAAAGAAGGAAGTGACAACACAAACCTCATTCAGTATGATTTGCATAGTACCTACGTAGAAAAAAAAAGAAGGCGGATGGAAAAGCCCGTTGAGAATCGGTTGCTCGAACAATCTGAAGGGAATGACGACACCAAATGCCAGTTTTATTCTCAAGTAGCACTCGAACGAAATACCTTCAAACTAGGTTGTGTTTCGGCACACTCAAGGTCATTCTCGATTTTCTACTTGCGTTATCGAGTGAAGTTGGAGCATTCCATTTCAAATTGAATATATTCGAACTAGGTTGAGTTCTGGGTGTGTTCAACAAAAAAACCTTTTTCTAGCCTCATAAAGGTAAGTCTAGCGAAAAGCAGTAAAAGGAACGAGTGTTCAAAAGGGTCGCTATCAAACTTTCACTTGGATTATCTGGTAATGGGTGAAGGAGGCTTCACTTCTTCAAAAGAGGCTCCCGTTCTTTTTCGTCTTGAGCATTTGTCCCGCATAGGAGAGGCGTCCGCTTTTTGTCTCCCGATTGGATGCTTGGTTGGAATGAAGGCCAACTAATTTCTAGTCGTCATGCAAGGTATCAGGAGAGCGCTGTGCTCCAAACGTTCTTTAGGCAATTTTCTAGCTCTGTCGAGATTTAGGCCGGGCCTACAAACACTGCTCTGGTCCGCGCGTAGGACACGGCCGCACCTTCCAGGCGAGCCTCGTGAATTTTGTCAGCATTGTATTAGGTTGGCGCCTAAGACTTTGTCACTTTTGCAATTTTTTTTAATTTAATTTTTTTCCTTACAACAACTAACAATTAACATATATATGCACCGTCACTATCGACAAGGTATTGCCATTTATCAGGCAACTTGTGAATCTTGCTTGCATAGAATTCCTGGGGTTTCGAGGAGGAAAACTCGCCGATGCACGTCTCACGTTGATTCACATAATCGAACCTCATATTTTTCAGATGGTTTCACAGCGGCAGGAGCAGTTGATAATCCGTTGGAGCCAGGTCAGATGAAATTGGTGGGTGGGCCAGAACATGCCATCCCAAGCTTTGAAGTTTCTTTCAAGTCTCTTTTGAAATGTGTGGGCCAGCACGGTAGTGGAGAGACAAGACTTTCCTCTGTTTCTCGCGTAGATCTGCAGCAATAAGTTCCACAAAGTACACAAGGCTTTGGTGCTGAAAGTGGAGTTTGTTGGCAGCAAGCCTAAGTGAATAATCCTTCCGAATGGTTACAGACGCTAAGCATTACCTTCCCTGGTTGGAATCCTGGTTTGCAGGTCGAGACCCCATGCTCTACGCGTCCGAGCCGCTGATGCTTCCTTGCATGGTTCACTTAGAGAACACACTTCTCGTCGCCGGCGTTTAACTTTTCCAGCCATGAGTAGGGGCGACGGAAAGTCAACAAGTTCAAACATGAATCTCTACTCATTTTTAGGTGGTGACCAGAGAGTTTTTCTCCTCACAACCCCAGGAATTGTATGCAAGCAAGATCCACAAGTTGCCTGATAAATGGCAATACCTTGTCGGTAGTGACGGTGCATATATATGTTAATTCTTAGCAGTCGCGAAGGAAAAAAATAAAATTGAAAAAAAAATTGCAAAGGCGACGAAGACTCAGGCACCGAACTAATAATAATCGGCGAATCGACCCTTCCTCATTTGGAACGAACGATATTTGTCGGAACACGAAATTTGACAGAGGATTAGTAGGGCATGCAAGATGTATCCAAAATGAGTCTATGCTTATCCTATTATTAGAAGTCTCATTGTGTTGTTGTTCATCTTGAAACTAATGACCCATTGAAGGTGCGATTGGTTGGCAACCAAAGGCCTGAGCAGTACTTACAGATGTTCCCGAGTAATACCATTATCAAATGTCTTTATCAATAAAGCTTCGTTTCTCTTCGATATACCGTTCAATGGAAATCACATATTATTAACGGTTGGGTAAGTTTTGCCAAGAATGATAACGAAGCGAAAAGAAACAGTAGTAAATAACAAATTTGTTGAATTTAATTGCTGAGAGAATCTTGCTTTCTAAGGCCTCTAATATCTTCAATGTTCCCATCCTGCCTCCTCTTCTCCTATGGGGAACCCCGCCTCCTATGGGGAACCCGGTCCGAGTCCGGTCCTGGCAACTACCATAAGTATCCCCATACCGCCCTCCCCTCTCCCCCCCCCCCCTCCCTGCGGGTCTAGTGGGTGTGGTGCAGTAGGAACGAAATTGTCATGTTGCGGTGAGAGAGGCACCGCGCGCGAAGGAATGTAGCAGTATGCAGCTGCAAGTAAGAAATTCGGGAACAAATGAACTAGCAGTAGAATCATGTCATGAGTAATAATCGCATGGCGATTGAGCTGTATGAAGAACGCTAGAGCTGTTATATCGAAGCAAATAGCCCGCGACAGCCGCGTGCGGCGGATCGATCAAGCAAAACCGTTCCTACTGCCGGTCTCCCGGGTCTAGCCATTCCTTCCACACACCATGAGTGCTCCCATCCTGTTTCCTGTAATCCTAGCGAATTGGAACTTTCTAGGTTCACGGGGACAGGTGTTATGAATTTCTGTTAAGCCCCGCCCATCGTGGGAGGAGTCCGATCCTGCCACCCACCATAAGTGTTTCCATCCTGCCGCCTGTACTCCTACCAAGTTTGAACGTTCTAGGTACACTGGGACAGGAGCTATGATTTTCCGCTCGAACATTTATTTCGCACAAGTCCCGCCCCTCTGTAGGCGGAATCCGGTCCTCTCTACCAACCAAAAGTGTTCGCATCCTGTTCCCAGTACTCCGAGCAAATTCGAACGTTTTAGGTCCACGGCCACAGGAGTTATGAATTTCCGGTCGGACACACACACACAAACACACAGACATTAGCGCGAATATGGTAGGATGTACAAATTTTAGGCTCGATTAGAGAATAAAGTCCTTCGCATGCAAAATATGAACTGCATTCATTCGGGGCTGGATTGGTCGGTCTTTTTCGAATGATCAGAAAGATTGGTATAAAACGCTTGTGAGACTGAGACTAGTTGGAATAAAAGCAGCTAGAACTATACCATAGCGTAACACCAGAGAAAGAAAAGTTCCGGTGAAAAACAGTGAAAAGCCACCATGCGAGTGAGAAAGCACCTCACTAATTCGCATACCGAGTCTGGTATCGTTTCTCCGAACGGCTTGTCGCGCTCACCAAACTCTATCGCGCGCTATGAAGGGAAGGAAATCCCAGTGGAAGGATGCGGCAGTTTCCGCGAAACCACTGCTGCTGGCTGTGGAAATTCGAGGAGTAGTTTCACCACTCGTACATACCTACCGCATTTGCCAAAGCATTTAAAATACCATGATCAGCCTTGTCTCTTTGTAAGTATTTTTTCATGTACGATTGCATGTAGTATGTTCTGAAATTCGTAATCTCTTTCTGTTGCGTTATTTTTACATTGGTTCAGAATAAAATCAGAGTATTTTGGCATTAAAACTGATAGAGTTGAATCATTTGAAGTGCGATGGAGGAGAGGATGATCTGTGTTAGGGACATACGAGAGCTAGCAAATGGAAATCATTAACTCTGATAAAAAATGAAAAAACGCGTAGGGGTGAGGGGGAATTCGCCAAAAACAGATCTCCGAGCACGATTACTTCATCGTCTGTCAAGAGGCGACTGAAAGAGCAAGTTTTTTCAAGGCGTTGGACACCACTGGTATGCTGAGAGTAGACAGTTCATGGGGCATAGAATGGAAAACACAGTCCAGCTCCCCGTTTTCTTCAATGTGCTGCGAACTTTCTGGTGGTACCAGCAGCTACGTTCAGTTAGGATAAGATCGCAGCACTCCCGAAAGTAAAGCAGAAAACAATACGAGCGTTCCAAAAACAGAAAAAGCACAAACAGAAAACAAAAAGAGTTACAGAAACACCACACCGAACCACGTTAACACAACTTTTCACATCAAGATATCTTTTCACTCTCCATTCGTCTTCTGCTTTAAAATGAACTCATGTCGCAGGAAGTGGTCGGCCCTATCAAGTCTGTGTATTCCGTTGATATGATGAATAAATCCCTCTTCTCGAGAACTAGCTCCTAAGAAGTCAAATGCTCGAAGAAGGATTAAAAAGCCTGAGAGAATGCACTCACAGAGGGATCTGATAACTGAAATTTTCAGAAGACCACATTCTGCCGGCGGGAACTGGTGTTGTGGTGGTGCCGTCGATGGTGCATCGCGATCCGAATTACTGGGACGATCCAGAAGTATTCCGGCCTGAACGATTCATTGATGGAGAGCTGAAACATCCCTACGCTTACATTCCATTTTCAGCTGGCAGCAGGAATTGCATAGGTACGTTTGGAATAAATTCTCATGGATGGTTCAGGGCTAGAAGCACAAAGAAACGCGTGCAAATGTGAAAACACAGGGTTCTAATATTAAATGTCGAATGCATGAAAGATAGCAGTCCCAGGGCACAGCAACGAGCATATTTTTAGTACACTTGTAGCTGGTTTTTTCCACGAAGGATGACAGTGTGCTTCGATCTTCATATTCTTGCTTTACGAGCTGCTTCACTCCGTTTCTTTCCCATTCATGCGATTTTCAGAGAAATAGCTATTATATCTTGTTTATGCATATTATGTGGCTGAAGTTCATTGTCTGAAGAACAGCTCTTCATCATTATTACAAAATAAAAAACTATTTAGCCTTTTAGGCCAACGCTTCGCCATGATGGAAGAAAAATGCATACTTGCGCTGTTGATGCGACATCTCCGTGTGCGTTCGCTTCTCCGTACAGACGAGATGCGCGTCGCCGCTGAGCTCATCATTCGACCACTCCACGGAAATCGGATAAAGTTTGAAAAGAGGGCTTATGGTGACTACACACATTGTAGCCCATGACCAAACGTACGAATCATTTCCCAATATCCATCGAGGGTACCTCTCCTCACTAGCCCTAGTATTTGGCGGATTCATGAAACTGAAGCTGGGGTGAGAACTCGGGCAAACACGCGCGAAGATATTTCTGCAATATGAGCGTTGGTGAAAGGCTCTTAATTATTTCCGAAGAGGTTTTATGTTCTTGGATTTCTATGTTTTATTCTTGTATGTGTGACCCAATTGAATGGATCAAGCATGATGAAATGCCTTCGCGCTTGATAGATAGCGATTACACTGTGAACAGCCACCTTTTTATGAAAAAGAAATTTTCTTTTAATAGTAATTTCTAAACGAGCGCACACAAATCAGCTGTTCGGATTTCTATTGTTTCTTTTCCTTGCACAAATTTTGATCTGCCTATTTTTTTTTATCTCGCTGTTTAGGCTATTAGTTTGTGATCTAATCACGAGTTTTCCCTTCACTTTCCCTGTGGAATTTAATTTTTTATTGTGATCATTAGTTGCTCTTGAATTTAGTTTGTATATTTGCGATTTGCTGTGTTTCTTCAAGCTTAACCTTTCCCGATTTATATCGCAAGGGCTCATTCACCTGATTTTCATTCTAAAACTTTTGTTATAAGGCAACTACCTTCCTGTTATACTATGTGTGGATTTTTTGTGTGAACATATCGGACATTATCGGGAAGCTGTTTCAAAGTATACACATTTTTATATATTTGGCAATATATATTGAATAAATCGACTTGAAAGACATTCCAACCAGCGCACTAATGCGCAGATCTCGCTGGTATAGTTCGTTTTCAAGTATGACCTAATAGAACGGAACTATGACTCTGAACGTTCTCCCAAAATCTATATAATTAACCCATTGACGACCATGCAGTCCTTATGTGGACTGCACTTTTTCGGCCTCGTGGGACCATGCAGTCCACATGTGGACTGCAGTTGTATTTTTTTGTTTTATTCATCTATATTTCTATTTTTTACAATTTTTCTTCTCGAAACATTACATCAGGCCTTAATGAGACTACATATAGCGTGGTCCTAAAAATCTTCTAACTTTACAATTGTAAGGGTGTTTTTTTCGAAGGAGTACACTACCTTGGTGAATTATTCGTTTGTTGAACAACTTCAAAAAATGAGATATTTTTGAAGGTCGGTCGTCATTAGCATTTCCGCTGTTATCGACCAAAGGCGAAGCTACTAACGCAACGCAAATAAAAGTTCTCCGAAGCGATTTCTAGTAATGATTGAACTCATAATTGAATGACCACTAGAACGAACGCCGTTTCTATAATAAAGATCAATAATCACTCAATGTGGGCATTCTTACCAAACCTATTTGAAGGAATATTCCTGAAAACTTATAATCTTCTCTTATAAAATTGAAAAAGCGGTCATGCTGGACCATGAAATCCACAAAAGGGCTGCAGTCGCGGGTGGACGAAAAGCGCGCCGGTCCTTCGCGGCGTTTTTCCGCAAAACGCCATGGTTAAGGAACTAAAGCGGAAGCAAACTGTATCAAGTAGAAGCTTCACAACAGGTCTCATTACTCGTTAAAGTGAGTATCGTATTCACTGACCGCAAACCACTAAGGGCCTGGGGCGGATAAGTTGCGGCTTTCATTCTCATCTTTACAGAACTTCATGTTGTATAGTGGTGGAATTAAGGGTAGTCAGGTAATAATGATAAGTGATGGTTCGAAACTATTCTCAACCAACTCACCCGCACCTAAGTGTGGGCGTCTTAACTAGCTGTGAAACTCAGAGGCCTCATTTTTTTCCGTGACTGAATTGGGCTGGACGTTCAGTCTTAGTCTCAGAACAAGTGGTACATTAATGTACCTTCGTCATGGACTTTGACGCTACCTCTAATGTCTGAGAGGCTGCTATTACTACTGTGGGACGTTATAATGACTCGAACATTTATTAAGACGGCCAACATTCAAAGAGATTGAGAAAAAGTCTAAATGACCAATGAAAGAAATCCACGAACGGATCAGACACCAGAGAGAGCTTTTGAGAGGGTGGGGAAGTAGGCCGCTCAAGATCGCTGCTCTTCTGAAGCCTACGGAGTTTTGAGTCACTGAAGTTTGTTTCAAGAGCACCCACCCAGGATGCGGCAATCGAGGATAGGATCTGGAGACACGGAGTTTACAAGAAGTTCATAAGGCCCCGTGGGGGTAAGGAGAATTCTGCCACTGACGGTCGACAATATTCCCTGCTAAAGGTTTGCCTTTTATACAGGTCTCCCGCTCCAATTATTTTTTCAAGCGTGTTCACCTTAGCAGTTAACTCCTGTCTGGTCTCCAGTTCAATGATCTGGTCAACCATCGACTTCGCGGTGTATTGATCTTTAATGGAACTCTCCGTTCAGCGAAACCCATCCCAGGCATCGGATCTTCCTCTCCTGATCTGTTATCCTCCAGCCCCCCCCCCTCCCCTTCCCCAGACAACTTCCTCTCCTTTGTGCAGATGAATAGTTTGCGGTTGCCAATGCCAGGAATGCATTGTAGAGCTGTAACTGTATCGCTGCTTCTTGGACACCTGCTTCCGTGTAAAGCTTCCCATGCATCCATGTGCAAATTGCCACAGTCTCCCTAGTGCCTTCCATTTGGGAACGCTTCAGCTGACACAGGGGTCCGTGCTGCCACCACGCTTCGTCCTTCTTTCGAGAGAGTCTTCACTAGATCTACAATCTCCTTGAAAACCTCCTTTTAGCCTTTGTCTTATTTGGGGAACACAATTGTCGAGATTCCCAGTGTGCTCCAGTCGACAAGCGTTTTTCCGAGGCTGCCCTATGGCATGACTACTTTAGTAAGAAGTACTCCCTCAGAAACATACGTGCTCTTTCGTTTGTTCTTTCTTGAGTATCTCGAAAGCCCTCTTATAGCAAATGCAAATGAGAGAAAAATCGTCCGTTGCAGTGACTCACGGCTTCAACATTTAGCAATCAGCATTTAGATAGAAAGCATTTTCCCCATAACATAATATCTTTGTTTATCGTACAATTACATTTTTCAGATTGTTGTTCTATGCGAGCCGTAACGATCGTATAAAAGAAGCTTGCAGCGCCAACTCTTCGCCTCTCAGCTTCAACGCCATTCTCTTCAACAGGCTTTAGCCCTCTTCACTAGACTTCTGCGCCAATCCTCCATCTCGTGCAACAACGCATCTGGCAACTACCAACGGCTTCAACAGGACAATATCTGAGGACAATTTTCCCACATCAGGACACGTAACCGGTTGATTGATTGATTTGTAATAGTGAAAAATAAATATCTAACCAATTGCCTTTGCCCAGAAACAGTCGTAAATACTACCGCGTGGCAACTCAACAAGAGTTTCGGCGAGCAACCCACGAAAACACCATACTTGGGTGCTTCGGCAACCCCACGAACTCAGGTCGATTAAATTTTGCTTGACCGGAAAACACAGCGGTCACTCACTTTCTTCGCTCAAACGTAAAGTGACAACCAAGAAGCAGGGTAATGCTTGAACAACCCCTTTTATAGAGAGTGTGCTCTTTCAGCACATTGATGAGTCACTCTCGTAGAAGAGCTACTTCTAACCCTCTTAGAAGGAAAACATAGAACAACGTTAGTGGCAAAATTATCCTAAGCCAAAAGTTGGGAGGCAAACGTCCGACGAAGGACATTTGCATGTTCTGCGAGGGCACGCATTCTTCCCATGCTTGCAATAAATATTCCACTCCGCAAGAACGGTGTCTCTATTTGAGGCGAAATAATCTTTGTTTGATATGTGCTTCTGGAAAAATAACATAATACCAGCCAATGCAGGAGACGAAGATGTTTCCGATGTGGTGGACCTCATGATACATCTCCCTTCTCTAAAGATAGTTCCACCCATCCCTCCATACTAGCCGATACCCAGGGAGAATCACATCCTTCCAAAACACCTTCCTTCAAATGAGGGGTTGGACGGGACAATAGCGGCAATAAGTTGAGTAAGGTAAAATCGCACGTCATCACTACAAAGGAAAATAATAGCTGTTCAACAACTCCATCGGATGACGCACTGGGAGAACCAGTGGTGCTTCAACATCACACGGTCACTAACGAAATTAAATTGAGGCACCCATTTTTACCAAAAAAGAAAGCAACAATAATCGACACTACCACCCAAGCATTGACAAAAATTAACGTCTTAATGGATACGGGAGCAGAACTATCATTTATAGATAGTTCCCTTGCAGAACGATCATAGTTGCAAATATAGGAAAAGAAAGTGGTACAGCTAGTGACCTTTGGAACAACGATGTGGAAAAGACCACAAGCAACCGATTGTGCCTGAAAGTTTGGGACGCAGAGGGAAACCCACATAATCTGGACGTGTTTACCCACAATATCTTGACAAGGCCACTCGAGAGACCGAGACTGCCCGACTCTGATGCCGGGTTCATTCGCACAGTAGATATACCCATCCAGTGGGAGCAAGACCGAAGAAAGGTCACACCCTCCATCTTCCTGGAGTTTGGTCAGTTGTGACCAGCCCACAATGGCCTTACTATCAGGCATGCGCGTCCTTCCGACCACTTTGGGGTACTTAATTTTAAGAGGACCCCAATCTCAAGGGAAAAATGTGCTGCACGTAACACATTCCACACCTGAAGATGAAGATAATTGGATGAACCTTTGGGCAATAGATGTCGTACAGCAGAGGAGTTGACTGGAACGGAAAAGGAAGCTCGTAGAGAGCAGGACATGAATGTGTGGGAATGGTTCACCAACACAATACAGCACCGACCTGCTACTACTGCGCTTGCCGTGGAATGAGCAACACCCGTACTTACCGGACAATAAAACTCCAGCCTATAGACGATAAGCTAAGGTATGGGCATCAATAAGTAAAGACAGTGTGCTCATAGAGCAATAGGAAAACGTCTCTCGAGACCAACTTCGCAATAACATCATCGACCAAGTCGAAGAATCGTCATTCAGTGCTACGGAAGAACAAGATCACTACATTCTCCACCAGCTCG